ACAGACCTCAGTAAATGACCATTCTGTTCCAACTGTTACTTACACCAAAAACCCTGCAGTCACACTTGACTCGCCACAAAAAAATCCACCAGTAAATCCTGTCAGTCCATCCTTTAAAATATATCCAGATTCAGGGATGCCTGGGTGGCTCAGTTGGTTAAGCGTCTGCCTTCGGCTCAGGTCATGATCCCAGGGTCCTGGGATCAAGCCCCGCATCGGGCTCCCTGCTCAGCAGGGGGTCTACTTCTCCCTTTACCCTCCTCTCTCATGCTCTCTCTCAAATAAAATCTTTTAAAAATAATAATAAAATAGAAGTAACTTTTCCTTCCTCCATATCACAGAGCATCTGGATGTTTCTTTTTTTACGATTTTATTTATTCACTTATTTATGTGTGAGAGAGAGAGAGAACAGGCGACTGGGCTAAGGAACAGAGGGAGAGGGACAAGCAGATTCTACGCTGAGCTCCGAGCCTGACTCGGGGCTCCATCTCATGACCCTGAGATCATGACCTGAGCTGAAATCAACAGTCAATCCACTGAGCCACCCACGCGCTGTCCCTGGATCTTTCTTATACTAATTTATAAATGTCCTACTCTATATTGAGTCAAAGATTCTGTTTTTGTTTTTGTTTTTTTCTTTTTCTTAAACTTCACATTCCTGGCAGTAACAAATACTATAGATACCATCTGAATGGAGTAAAGGTTGAATGAAATGATTAGCGTAATGAGACTGGAGTTGATCAGATCTGTACTTACATTTAAAAAAAAGTAGTTTAAGACAGATAGAGTATGGATGGGAAAAAGGCCTAAGAAACATTCCTTAGATTATTTGGAAGAACTGTTATATGTGACCACTTCAAAGCAGATACACCTTCATGATACCATGGAACCCTCCATCCACAGACCAACTAAAAGCTAGGGTATAGAATCTGAAAGGAGATCTACTTAGGAAACCAGCTGTCTTACCTCACCCAAGTCTATATAATCAAGAGTCTGTGGGGAAAACTCTTCTGTCTGGCATTCCCTAGGTCTGTCACAAGAGCCAAACTCTAACCTAAAGGACTACATATCCTATTTCTAGAGGGGCCCACTTCGGCAAAAAGTAAAACCCAGCAAAGCTGGATTCTCCCCAGGACAATGCATTCTGTCTTAATGTAAGGAGAAACCAACAAGATTTCAAAGACCCTGAGTTAACTTTTTTTTTTAAGTTTATTTATTGACGTAATCTCTATACCCAAAGTGGGGCTCGAACTCATGACCCTGGGATCAAGAGTTGCATGCTCCTTTGACTGAGCAAGACAGGTACCCCAAAACAAATTAACTTCTTAATCCTAGTAGGGACTATGCACTATTCCTAATCTTCCCAGGAATAATTAATTAGTAAGATTTTTTTTTAATATGAGGAGCTAACAGAATTGAAGATATACCTGGTAATGACAGAGACCAGTCTTGTACAGAAAAAGAAAGATCTCCTCAAGCTTAAACGTATTCAGAAAAGGTCATGCTAACACTTAACAAAGGTGAGCATTAAACCAAGTGACCCCTTTCTAACAGCTATCAACCACAGCATTTCTAAAATAAAACCCCCCAATTCTTTGACACTTCTGCCATCAAAAAGTGGGGTCTATGTCCTTTCTCTGGGATCTAGGCTCTGAATGAAGGGTAGAATGTGGTAGAAGTGATATTATGTCATTTTCTAGGCCCAAGCCTTAAAAAACTGGCAGCTTCTGCAGCTTCCACTTCCTATCTCTTCGGATGCTCAATCTTGGAACCCAGCCACCACGCTGTGAGGAAGCCCAAGCAACCCATAGAGATGCCACCACCGAGAGACACCCAGAACCAGAATCCATTTGCCAGCCATGTAAGTGGGCCATCTTGAGAGTAGATCCACTCCAGCTACTAACACAGAAGCAGAGATGAGCTGTCCTTGCCAAGCTCTGCAAACTACAGTTTCTTTTTTTTTCCTTAAAGATTTTATTTATTTATTTATTTGACAGAGAGAGAGACAGCGAGAGCAGGAACACAAGCAGGGGGAGTGGGAGAGGGAAGCAGGCTTCCCGCAGAGCAGGGAGCCCGATGCGGGGCTCGATCCCAGGACCCTGGGACCATGACCTCAGCCGTAGGCAGACGCTTAATGACTGAGCCACCCAGGCACTCCAAACTGCAGTTTCCTGAGCCAAATAAATGACTATTGTTTTAAACATCTAAGTTTTGGGGTGGTTTGTTACACAGCAATCAATAACTGTTTAACTGTAACATTAATTTTTTATATTCTTTTAAAGAAAAAGTTTATTAATAAAAAATAGCCTGTTTGCCTTTGATTTACCACCTCGGGTGACCTGTGGGAGGCAGGCAGCACAGGGTTAAGAGCACAGACTTTCAGAGCTAGACTGGCAGAATTCGAATACTGGCAGGTCCCATGGTCCCTGTGCTTCTTTTTCTTCCTCTGTAAAAGGAAGACAATAACCTCCTAGGCTATGATTAAAGCAGGCTGTTTGAAAGGATGCTGTTTTAAAGAAAGGAGGTGGTAGAGAAGAGAAAATAGAAGTATGGTTAAAAAAAATGGTAAAATCAGGAAATCTTGGAAGCAAGGAAAGGGAAAGTAGGAATGTTCAGACAGAAAATCAAGGAGAGGCCTAGCAGGAGGGGGTTGCTTAGCAGATCTGGCTACCAAATGAGACTGGGCTCTAGAGACTGATAGAGCCTGCCAGTAACAGGTTACTTGATTTCCACAGCTCTACCCATTCCAGCAACTTCAGAAGGAATAGACTGGGCACTGCCTTCAGGAGCATAATCTTCCTTCTAAGTGTGAGGCCTTCAGACACCCCAAAAAACTGAATAAAGTTTACATTTACTCAAGTAGACCCATCTGCCCCCTCCCCCATACAGGCTGCCCCCCACCCCCCAACCTTCTGAATTCATTGCTGATGCCTGCAATTACTTCCAACAGGGAGAGAAGACATTTTCATTCCACGTTCAAAAGAAAAATGACAAAAATGCAAAGGTCTGGCTACAATAATAGTGAGTCGAATGAAGTTTCTGTTAATCGCCCCGCCAAGTGGGGCCCGGCCAGACATCTCTGGGAGAGGAGGAAGAACTAAAGGTTTACTGAGGCCTACTAAATGTCAAGCCACAGTCCACGGATAGTAAGTGGAATCAATTTGGGTAATTTCCAATGTCTTAAATATTTGTTGAATAACAGAAAAAAAACAAACCTAAGTATGCCATCCATCAGACCTTCCCATGTTCACAGAGGAAGGATTTAAAAGCAGGACAGCATCGGGTCACCATCACCGGTGGGGGGGGCAGGTCATAGAGGAGGGAAAAGGAAAAGAGCTAAGGATACTGATGTAGAGAAACTGTAGATTCCAACACTAACTAGAATCACATTTACTCTCCCATGAAGAAGACAAAATGAAAAGATACAGACTAGCTTTGCCATTTACCAGTTATGTGACTTTGGGTAAGTGACTTAACTTCTGTGCGCCTCAGTATCCTCATCCCTAAAATGGGTAATTACACCTATTTCATTGGGCTATTGTAAGAATCAAATGTGTTGATATAAGTGCTTAAAACAGTACCTCCTGCATAGTAAATGCTATTTAATTATTAACTGCAATTATTATTACTATGATTACTATTCTTACTGTCTGAGATATCTGACCTGAATATATCAACTCAGGAAGCCCTATCATTACACGGGAGCACACTGTTCTCAGGAGATTCACTAACGACAGTATATAAACAAAGGACATAAGCAGAAAAAGCGTTTGTTAGCATACAGAACTCATGAATTCCCCTTTGGGGAATAACTAAGTGGACTTCAGGTAACTAGACTCTATTTCTCCCTCTCTTTGTTGGTATTTTTCTGGTCATTGAGTCATTCTTCATAACGTAAGGGGTGAGAGGAGATGTCAAAAATGAGACAAAGTGTAAACTAGTGCATTCTGAGAATTGTTGACAGTTCAAATGACTTGGCTGGTGGAGAACACGGTCACGTTAGCTTACATAAAGCTTTCAGTTACTCTTCATGCTTCATATGACAAGGGACTGAGATGAGAACAACAACAGGAACTTGGAGCAAGCATTCACCATAAAACCTCATGATCTCAAAACCTGAAAATTAGAGGAGAGTTTGTTTCCCTGATTTTCCACATCAAAACTGGGCTTTGTGGGCGCCTGAGTGGCTCAGTAGGGTAAGCGTCTGCCTTCGGCTCAGGTCATGATCTCGGGGTCCTGGGATTGAGCCCCACATCAGGCTCCCTGCTCAGTGGGGAGTCTGTTTCTCCCTCTCGCTCTCCCTCTGTGCTCTTCCTCTCTCTCTCTCAAATAAATAAAATCTTTAAAACAAAACAAAACAGAAAAAAAACAAAACTGGGCTTTGCTTTCTAGGAAGAGCTATTCAGAAATAGGACCATCTCAGAACATGAAAACAAGGAAATTATTCTAATACAGGAAGAAATGGATAAAGAAATAGAAAACTGATTGGTGGTAGGAGAGCTTGCTTTCAGTTTTATTTTACAGAGAATTACATACATATATATATGTATGTACACATATATTTTATAGAGAATTATATACATTATATATGTAATTCTCAGTACATTTACACTGACAGGTTTTCTCTCACAGACACCTGCTCATATTGATTCACAAAGGAAAAATATTATTGGCCTCTGATTTTTTATGACTGACTTTTGAGAGGTAGTCTACTTACCTCTATCTCCCGAGAAGAAAAGAGACATAAACATAATAAGTACGTGCTATGTATCAGGCATAAGCAAGACATCTTATATACTTTATCTCAGTTCATTTTCATATTAGCTCTATGAACACATCTGAGAAAACCAAAGCAAAAAGAAATGAGGACCTCTCCCCAAAGTAACGCTTATAAATGATGAAATAAACTCAGGTCTACTTTCAATCCAAAGCTCATATATGTTCTATGCACGTCACTTTACTGCCTAAGGCATGACAAACATACTGTAAAATCTACTTGCCTGAATGTCAATGTCTGCCCACAGAAATAAGTTGGAGCACTGGAGTAGAGCACACCCGAGGATTCAGAATCATTCCGGAGGGCTATATTTCTTCGACTACTCAGGCTGTACCCCTCAAAGCCAGCTGTCCACTCTTTTTAGAAAGCAAAGATACCGAAAATTATTAAAACCTTTTGAGGTATATCTTCAACACAGATACGTTAAATAAAACTTGGAAGCAGAAGCAGCTACTCTTAGGGGTCACGGACAAGCCCCATAAAAGAAGAGATTCAGTGACAGGTATCCTGGTTAATCCTAAAAAATCACAAAAAATGTGTTAGTCTATTCCTGCAGAATTCTGGCAGGAATAGACGGAAGATCAATGAGTGTTATCTCCTATCTAATGAAATCAGGATGAAGCATAATTGAGCTTATTCCAACCTGATTAACAACTAATTAACAAATGAGTCTGAATATTTTAAAATAGTAATATAGGACAGACCAATTTCAAATCATAAGACCTCCATCCAGAAAGTAATTGAAGGTTTGGAAAATCAGTACCCATTTTTTTTTTGAAAATCAGTATCTTGTCGCAACACTTAAAATCTTTGGATTTAGGGGATGCTAATAACCCTGCCTAGCACTATTTTTGGACTTGAGATAAGAACCGATGAAAATGTCTCAAAATTCACGCAAAGTAATTTGAACAGAACATGTTCCATGTTGTTCTCACCAACGCAGGTTTTACCGACAGAAAACCTGGCTGTCAGTGTGTGATCTTGAGCACAGGCACCAGCGTCCTGAGACATCGTTATGCTTCGGGAGTGAGAAGGCAACAGCATACCATGAGGCACCAACGTGGAGTGACCCATTTGGGGGACGCTCCAAGGACTCCACTCCTGTCGGCCATCTCCTCGGGCGCAGACTCTGAACTGATAATCAACATTGGGGTCTATGTGCAACACTATGAACTCAGTTTCAGAGCCTACGTATACGTCCTCAAAATGATTTGAAGTGCATTTGCGGAACTGGAGCCTGTAATCCTGGGCTGTAAAGTCATCATCCACCTAAGGAGAAAGGCTTTGTGTTAGATAAAAATCAGGGAACAACTCTCCCTGCTTGTGTTCGCTCTCTTGCTGTCTCGCTCTCTATCAAAAAATAAAATCTTAAAAAAAAAAAAATCAGGGAACAGTTTCTCTCAGCATCACGGCTTAAGAATTCTGGGGCCAAGCACAGAAGCCCACGTGCTGAATTTGGGCTACTCTCAGGAAGGTCATAGGAAATATGTCATCATTACTGCCCTTTATTGAACCATGTGTTATATACCTCCCAGTCTGATTTGCAGAACTCTGCTTCCTTTGAAGAAATGGCATGTTCTCTTTTTCTTTCTTTTTTTTTAAAAGATTTATTTATTCATTCTAAAAGAGAGGAGCGAGCACAAGCAGGGAGGGGCGGAGGGAGAGGGACAGAGAGAAAATCCCCAAAAAGAGTCCCCGCTGAGTGTGGAGCCTGATGCAGGGCGCAATCCCAGGACCCTGAGATCACAACCTAAGCCAAAATCAAGAGCTGGCCACTCAACTGACTGAGCCACCCAAGCATTCTGAAATGGCATGTTTTCTATACCATAATGCCAAAGATAAAATATTGGAAATTCAAAGATAAGAATCCCACAACTGGGGTGCCTGCATGGCTCAGTTGTTAAGTGTCTGCCTTCGGCTCAGGTCACGATCCCAGGGTCCTGGGATCGAGCCCCACATCGGGCTCCCTGCTCAGCAGGAAGACTGCTTCTCCCTCTCTCACTCCCCCCTGCTTGTGTTCCCTCTCTCGCTCTCTCTCTGCCAAATAAATAAGTAAAATCTTTAAAAAACAAAAAAAAGAATCCCACAACTACATCATTCACAAAACCAAGATAATTAATATCCAGAATATATAAAGGACTCCTTTAAAACTTAATAGGGGAGAAACCACCCAATAAGAGAATGAACAAAAGGCACAAATAAGCATGGAATTAGAAATATACGTAACCAAAAATACATAAAAGTATTTAACCAAATTTGTAATACAGACAATGCAATCTGAAACCAGAATGAGATACCATACTGGCAAAAATGTAATGTGTGACAATACCAAGTTTTGGTCAGGATGCAGAGTACGGGGAACACTGCTCGTGGAAGGAAACGCTGGTACAATCACATTGAAAATAATTTGGTATTTCTTTTTTTTAGAGTGGAGAATTTCTTTTTTAAGATTTTATTTATTTATTTGATAGAGAGAGACACAGCGAGAGAGGGAACACAAGCAGGGGGAGTGGGAGAGGGAGAAGCAGGTTTCCCGCCAAGCAGGGACCCCGATGTGGGGCTCGATCCCAGGACCCTGGGATCATGACCTGAGCTGAAGGCAGATGCTTAACGACTGAGCCACCCAGGCGCCCCCAGAATTTGGTATTTCTAGTAGAGTATAGATCCAATACTCTAGGACCTTATAATTTTACTGGGTATATACTTGAGGAAAAATTCTTACACATGTACACCAAGGAACATGAATACTAATGTTTATAGCAAAAAAAAATGGAAACTCTAGATCCACTGACAGGGAAAAGAATAAAAATGGAATAAGAGTCTTTGTTTTGAACCAACAAAAAAATCCCTACTTTTTTCTTCTGTAACAAGGCCTCAGCAAAAAAATCCACTTAAGGGGTACCTGGGTGGCTCAGTTGGTTAAGCTTCCATTCCGACTCTCGATTTCAGCTCAGGTCTGATCTCAAGGTGGTGAGATCCAGCCCCATGTTGGGTTCCACGCTTGGCAGGGAGTCTGCTTGAGTTTCTCTCTCCCTCTCCTTCTGCCCTTCTCCCCTCTTCTCTCTCTCAAGTAAATAAATAAATCTTTAAAAAGAAATCCATTTAGGGGCACCTGGGTGGCTCAGTTGGTTAAATGTCTGCCTTAGGCTCAGGTCATGATCTCAGGGTCCTGGGATCAAGTGTTGTGTTGGGCTCTCTGCTCAGTGGGGAGTGCTTGTCTTTCTCCCTCTGCGCCTCCCCCTGCTCATGCTCTCTCTCAAATAAATAAATACAATCTTAAAAAAAAAAATCCATTTAAGAAAAATCAATCATTTCCAGAAGCTGAGCACCCATTCTGAATGATATATTTGTCAACAGCCAAGACACTTATGATTCATTTGGACATGGTTTCTATCTACAATATGGTAACTCATATACATAACATGATTTAATACAGAAAATTCCCAGCATGCTGAGAATGTGACAAAACCACCATTTTAGGATTTTTTTTTTTAAGATTTTTATTTATTTGAGAGAGTGAGAGAGTGAGAGAGAGAGAGCACAAGCAGGTGGAGGAGCAGAGGGAGAGGGAGAAGCAGGCTCCCCACTGAGCAGGGAGCCCGACGCGGGGCTCGATCCCAGGACCCCGGGATCACGACCTGAGCCGAAGGCAGTTGCTTAACCAACTGAGCCACCCAGGCGCCCACGTCTACAAGTCTTAATTACGCACCTTACACCATCGAACAATGATGCCTCCCGGTTTCTCTATTAGCTCTTCGATCTGAACTGGTGGGCGAGATGCTACCATTCCATGCTTGAAAATGTGGTCTTTCACTATGTTCAGAATTGAGTCATCCAACTGAGCAGACAAACAAGGCACATCAACCAGTAAAGGCACTTCTGGTAAGCTGAGGAAACAAAGCTTATGTGTTTATGAGGCTCTTAACTGAGGATTAAAAATATGAATCATAGTTTAGATCAGTCACATACGACATAAAGATGCTAAAGCCCTCAGGAAATAATGCTAATGGCAGTAGGGGCTTTGGAAGACAGATTCTCTTCCCAAATAAATATAAGCAAGAAAAGAGAAAATTGGTAGGATCACCACTGTCAAGTTTATACCAAAAAATCAGTTTCAGTATGTTCAGATTTCTAAAATTTAGTAATTCTCTTACACATTAGAATTGAAGAAAATCTACAGTAATACTATGCCAAAAATTACAATCGCTACTGTTTCATACCACTAATACTGGTATTGCGCAGTGAACCTTGAAATATATATTCTCTATCTCATTTACTCAGAATCTTTAATAAGGGGGGGGGAAAAAGCAGGCAGTTTAAATGTGTAAAACTAAGCCTGAACGGCACTAACTCCTTTACCTGTCCAACTGAATGTGTGAGGCCTTTTTGGTAAAGTTCCACAGTTTTTCATTCTGTTCTCCTATGCCACCAAGAATGGCAATCTCCCCTACAATCAAGAATGAGAGAATAAATACAGCAAAAAACAGTCACATTATAAAGTAATCACTATAGTCCATGCCTAGGTGAGTCTCTGGTTTTCTCGCAAATAATTCTTAAGTGATTCCACAGTCAAGTTCCCAAAAAGTAAAGGTAGAAACTACTTTAGAAGTGACTCTAAGGTGAAGCTCACAAAAAAAAGGGGTACATAATGGTAACATTTTACCAGAGATGAAAGATTCTGCTCTACACAAAGAAATCTGGTTTGTCGACCAATTTTATACAAAGGAGAAGGTCCGGGTCCTTTTTTCCATCGCTCCTACAGAATCTTTATTTATAAAACTCCAACAGGAGTTACCCTGATAGAAAAATAGGGCACAGGGTCTTTTTTTTTTTTTTAATTTCTTTAAGACAGACAGAAAATAGGGGGGAAGGGGAGAGGCAGAGGCAGACTCCCCGCTGAGCAGGGAGCCCAATGCGGGGCTCGATTCCAGGACCCTGGGATCATGACTTGAGCCTAAGGCAGACGCTTTTATTGACTGAGCCACCCAGGCACCCCATGGGCAAGGGGTCTTATAAAGTCAAATGATACAGCTGTTTTCCTAAAAGAGTATCACATATTAGAAATTATTCCACAGAAAAAGGAAAAGGTACCTAAAGACATTAAAAAAAAAAAAAAAAGACCAACTTCTATGTCCTTCCACACCCCCAAAGAAACACTACCAGAACTCTTTTCCATCTGAATATGCCCTGGAGTGACTTAAATTTTTTGGGACCACATGACATTCTCCATCACCAAAAGGAAAACAGGACATATGGAACACTGCCTCCAAGTCCTCAAAATTCCATAAATGAGTTTTTATCCCTTGGGAGGGAGGAAAGAGACTGAAATTCAAAATATTTCTGAAGTATAAAAACATTTAAGCATCAGATGCTGTAACAAACAAGTTTGTGCCTCAAAGGATTTATTTTCTAAAATAAAAACATTTCTCAGTCCTTAGGGTGATGGGTGTACACTCCTGCCCTGTGAACTGCTTCTGGGTTTGTTTCCAAATGCAAAGTCTCTCGGGGAAGACACCCTGTGGCCCCCCTAAAAATAATTCTCTCAAAGGCACTGTTATGGTCAGTGACAAATAAGCAGTTCTCACTGAAGATGAGACAAAATGTCATTAGCATGCAAAGATAACAGCAGTGCCACATTCTAAATGGGACTAAAAGGGGATGAATTTCCAGTTAGAGTGACAGCCTTGTAAGCCATGCACCCTCTTCATCCCATGCCACTCACAGCACTCAGTGCAGGATGGGTGGTATTCAGTCTCTGGCTCCTTTTTCAGTTGTCCTTTCAATGCTGGCATCCTCTGCCACCCTCTCTTCTCATATTATACACTAGCTTTGGAAGATTTACTTACTCCCATGGATTCAGACTCACTTGCCATCTTGCCACACTGATCTCTCTCCTAAGCCACATGCCACATGCCCAACTACCTTCTGGGCATCCACAGCACCTCGAACTCAAATGCCCCAAACTGAATGCCTGACTGCCCACTGAAGCCCACCCTTCTCCTTTATTTCCTACGTCAGTAAACAGCACATTCCAACCTGGTCATCCAAAATCTGGCTGGTTTTGGTCATCCTAAATCTTTCCCTTTATTCTCCAACCTATCTCCAGGCAATCACCAATAATCAACACTCATTGATAGGTAAAATCGTCAATACTTTTCTCTCTGAAAAGTCTTTTTTTTTTTCAAGATTTATTTATTTATTTATTTGACAGAGAGAGACACAGCGAGAGAGGGAACACAAGCAGGGGGCGTGGGAGAGAGAGAAGCAGGCTTCCCGCTGAGAAGAGAGCCCAATATGGGGCTCGATCCCAGGACTCTGGGATCATGACCTGAGCCACCCAGGTGCCCCAGCATCATTTTTTTTTAAATGCAAATCTGACTGTGTAACTCCACTGCCTAAAATACTTCAATAGACCCCTGATATGCCATTCACTTCACTCATGATGTTACTTCTGCTTCCAATCGTGCTGTTACTTCTTTTCTTCCTTTGTCTGCTTAATGAATTCTTTTGAGCCTCCGTGGAACTCCTCCCACAGAAAGCTATCCTACACTCTCCCACAGCTAAGCGCTTTCCCTTCTCTGAAGTCTTAGCTCTCTCTCGGCACATACGCCTCTCTCTGCGCTGTGAACCCCAAAGGGCAGAACCATTACCTTTTGATTTAATGTTCTTGACAACGATCTATGTGAAAGAAGGAAGGTGGACATGAAGACAGGAAGATAGCAAGCCGAGATGTGGGCATGCTTTAAGCACAGTAATTGGCTGCAGATAGGTATATAATCGCTATGATTTCAGGAGTAAACACCAATCATAATTTTTAACCTTCTAAAACTAGCAATGGAATTAAATTCTACGAACACTCTGAAAAATATCTGAACAGACTCAAAAGGACTTTAAAGTCACAGTGTTAACAGTAAATAAGATACTATCATAAAACCATTTGAGAAAAACCATCTACGCTTCGTTTTGTAAATGATTATAATTAACACTTCAACTGCACTCACTCACCGTGGGATACCTCACTGTGTATCTGTCATCCTATATTACAAACTATCCTGAAGCAGGAACATTCTAAGCACCCCACAGATGGCAAGAAGCCTGCTGGCACCCTGAGAAATCAGCAAAGGGCCAATCTGAATGTGCCCCACTTCACAGCCCCCTGGACTCCCACCTTCTTGGACTAAGTCCTCTGCAGTATTAACTCCATGCTCTATGAGCTTCTGGCAGTCATCTAGAGGTTTAATGGTTTCCTGTTCAATCGTGTCCACCTCTTGCAAAAGGGTCACCAATCGCTCATCCAGGAGCTTCCCAAGCGTTCCCTTTAAATCATTAAAATGCTGTTTGAGAACATCTCTTGTCTGTGATGCACTCTCTTTGATCTGAAAAGGAAGAACATAAAAACACAGAATCAGAATCTCTAGAAAAGGCTAATCCACAGGCATGACCCATAATCCCAAGGCACTACACAATGATCATCTTCCATTTGTTGACAAATTGAACGTGATTCATTTGCACAAACTTGCAGAAATGCACAGTACTGGCCTTCAGGTAAGACAGAATGGGCTCAAACCCTGGTTCCACCATTCACAAACTAAGTCAATTTGATCATGTTAATTAAGCACTCCACACCTCAATTTCCTTATATGTCAAATGAATATCATGCTTACTTCATGGAGTTGCTGTTAATAGGATTAAATAATGTGTATTACGCTTGGTAAAATAACTGGCACATTGTAGCTCCCAATAAAAAAATATTAGTATCATTATCTGCACAAAGTTGTTCTTGGCAACAGTATGTTTCAGCACAAAAAAATTTAAATTAGGAGGGGATTAAAATTCATTTTACTGAAAAGTAGTAAACAAATGGTAAATCAGAAAGCCATAGTATAGGGGCGCCTGGGTGGCTCAGTCAGCTGAGCGTCTGACTCTTGGTTTCAGATCGGGTCATGATCTCAGGGTTGTGAGATGGATCCCCATGTCATACTCACGCTCAGTGTGGAGTCTCTCCTCCTCCCTCTCCCCCTGCCCTTCCTCCCTCCACTCCTCCACGGTTCCCTCTAAAATAAATAAATAAATTATAAATAAAAGAAAGCCGTGATACTAAAAAAAAAGAAAAATATATCACCGAATGGATAAAATGCCCTCATTATACTAGGAGAAAGCTAAGAATTTATTTAAAATTCAAAGAGGCTCATAGAAGGCAGAGAAATGTTCATGAAAACACACCTCTGGGACAATAATCTTTTTTGAGTTATGTTCCTCTTTGCAAATCTCAATGAAAGGTTCACAGACCCTCTCTTTCCAATAAAATGAATAATCCATACCCTAAAGAAATTAATTCAATTTCAGAGCTTACAAATTCCTTCAAATCTCAACCATGGCTTGCCTGCAGCAGTAATTCTGAAACTTGGTTTGCAGAAGAATCATGTAGGCTGCCTGATATAATTTAGATTGCAGGGCTCCATCCCAGACATACTGATCCAGAACCTTCAAGGAGGGCTGGAGTGTATGGATGGAGTTCTCAAGTTTCAAAAGCACACCCGTGATTCTGCAGCCCACACTTTGAGAAACACTGCCGTCAGGTCCACAGAGCTCAGATTAAGAGCTGCTGTTCTGGGAGACAGGACAGGGAAATCTTTACAGCTCACACTTATTTTGAAAACAAACCAGTTGTCTACACAGATACAACTCTTTCTTTTCTTTTCTTTTCTTTTTTTTTTTTTTAAAGATACAACACACAATTCACTCTCACTTAACAGGAAAATTCTAAAAGCCAAATAGCTGAATCAAAGCAAACACATACTTTACTTTGCAGATATTAAATTAGTTTCATAATGACATTATTACATTTACTACTCTAACCCTTTTGCTAACTTTATCTTTCCAAGAGTGTTTGAAGTCCAAGAAAATACACAAAGCACAGGATTTCCACAGTTAATAGAGAAATTTAGAAAGTTTTCCATCTATTCTCTAATACTAAATTTAAAAAGCAGAATCCAGAAATGTTCACAACCATGTAAAAACAAAAGATGTCAATGCTCAAGGAGTACAAAAAAATACAGGGAAAAAAAAGGGAACAGTTTAATTGGCTGAAATGGATTATGGAAATAATTTTTTCTCCTTTTGACAGTAATGTAACTTACAATAGTGTGTGTGCAGTAAATGGAGGAATACCTTAAATCATAAAGAAACAGAGAGACTCGGGGCGTCTGGGTGGCTCAGTCGTTGGGCATCTGCCTTTCGCTCAGGTCATGATCCTGGGGTACTAGGATCGAGCCCCGCATTGGGCTCGCTGCTCCACGGGAAGCCTGCTTCTCCCTCTCCCACTCCCCCTGCTTGTGTTCCTTCTCTCACTGTGTCTCTCTCTGTCAAATAAATAAATAAAATCTTAAAAAAAAAAAAAGAAACAGAGAGACCCTAATATAAGTTTAATTGTTAAGTAGTCTCTGTACTAGGGAGCTTCTATGAAATAAACCAAAACCAAAATTCAAAAAGAAAAGGGAGGGTGCCATACTCAAAACTTTCAGGTTCATTACTTACCTGTGGGGTCCTTAAGACTCAGGCCCTAACATACATATAGCACCTGGCAAATAAATGTTGTTGAAGAAAAATGAAGTTAATCATGTACATGTTTAAGACCTTTTTAAAGAACCAGGGAGAGCATGCCTTATGATTTTTTTTTTTAAAGATTTTATTTATTTATTTGACAGAGACAGACACAGCAAGAGAGGGAACACAAGCAGGGAGAGTGGGAGAGAGAGAAGCAGGCTTCCCGCTGAGCAGGGAGCCCGATGCGGGGCTCGATCCCAGAACCCTGGGATCATGACCTGAGCTGAAGGCAGACGCTTAACGACTGAGCCACCCAGGCGCCCCTACATGCTTTATGATTTTGATACATCACCTGGGATATTGTTAGAAATGCAGACTGTTAGGCCCCACCCAGAACTACCGAATCAGAACCTACATTTTAAACAAGATCCCCAGGTGAACTACGATAGACCTTACAGATACCAAAATAAATGAAGACATGTTGAGGCACTGTAATACAGTTCACACCCCCACCACCAAGAGGAAATTCTGCAGTTGAGAAGTATACCAATGAAGTCCTGTCTCACTCTCTAACGGATACGGCACATACAGGAAGTGCATTGGTTAGGTAAAGTCAATTTCCTCTTTAGAAAGAATTCAAAAGCTCCAACAGTTTCAGAGCTCAACTATGTTTTGTTTTTGTTTCAGAACCTCAGAGGAAAGAAAAAGAGGAAGTATGTGAACATAAAGCAGTGAGAGGACTGGGCAGGGGAGACTCCATTTCCAAATGCACCTCCTACACTTCCATTATAAACGTAGTCCCTTTCCTTCATAGATACCAACCACTGCTGTTTCATTTGCTTTGCTTGATGAAACTAAACCTCGGGCGGACTTCACTGCTGAGTGGTTTCTTCTTATTTGATGTGGTACCATGGTCCCTGTGTGCCCTGTCAGCTCATTAACTTCACAGTGACTCTGAGAGGTGGGTCTCTACTGCCTACATTGAAGAGGGTGAAGCTTGAAGAAGTCAAATAACTTTCCCAAGGCTTCACAGTGCCAGAAACAGTCTGACTCCAAGGACCATGGCCTTTCCACTTTTCCCATTTTCAGGAGTTCCCAGGAAAACCTAGAAATTATGTACTGACTGCAAACACTTCCTGCTGTAACTTGTATTTCTTATCCTTGCATCAAGAATCATGTGGTAGACAACCACACAGCCCCAAATGCTATCTAGCCGTTCTAGGGCAAAACAACTGCTACATATAGTAACAGTAGATTTAAGTAGAATACAAATGATACACAACTCAAGGTCTTTTAAAAAGGAAACCGTCATATACACTGTTTATGCTGATTAATAATATTCAAACCAATTTTCCACTAAAGCCTCTACTGTAATGGACCATTAAAACTTACTTACTGGGGCACCTAGGTGGCACAGTCGGTTGAGCATCTGACTCTTATTTAGGCTCAGGTCATGATCTCAGGGTGATGGGATCGAGTCCTACATCAGGCTCCCCATTTTGTGCTGTTTGGGACTCTCTCTCCCTCTCCCTTGGCCCCTCCCCCTGAGCACATGCATGCACGCACACTCGCTCGCACGCACGCCCGCTCTCTCTAATAAATAAATCTTTTAAAAAAAACAAGTTACCTTTACTGCAGTTTAATCTAATCCCTAAGCAACTGTATTTTGAAGTTTTAACATGAGGATGAGTTCACAAAATGGCAAGAAGTCATCAAGTTTACACATCAAGACTAAGGCTTGCAAAAGCCTAGTAAATATATACTTCATAACCCTCCAAGACAACATTGACTGACATACTTTCCTCCGGAGTTTAGCTACTAACAAACTCATAAAACCTATGTAGAATTTGATTTAAAACATCTGTGGTCTTCAGTGGCAATATACAGTTGCTATATCAATATAATACAATAAATATAACAGCGTATTTTAGAAAATTAAGTAACCAGAATCTCCTCTATCTCCTCTAAAACATGCATTTTTATGATTTCATAGAAGAAAATAATTTTTATTCTCCAAGTTTAAGAATTTATTTTCCCATTTGGTAACAGGAAACTAAAACGATTTCATTTTATTTTTACAATTTTATTTTTAAGTAATCTCTACACCCAACACCCAACATTTGGGGCTCAAATTCACAATCCTGAGATCAAGAGTCATATGTTCCACCCCCTGAGCCAGCCAGGCACCCCAGAACTATTTTAAAATTACACATTGGCTTTAAACACTTAGCTACACTCTGGTTTCTCTTCAGATCACATAAATCTTTTGCCTTTTAAACACTTAGCTAACAAGAACATAATAATCAAAAATAAAAGACAAAGTAAATATAAAAAATAGTCAAGTGAACTTGAAAAAGCTAACCAAAATATTTCTTCTCAGTTCATGTGACATATACTACATTAGGTACTTGTCTTCACCCTGACACGAAGACATTAGTCACTAAAAATAACAGATGATGATGATGATGGCAATAATACAGCAACAGCTATCATCTACTGAACACCTACTGTGTGCCAGCTACTTACACGCATGGTCTCATTTAAATGCTACCACAACCCTATGAAGAAAGCATCTGTAGATGAGTAACATACTGGAGTCAGAGAGATAAACATGCCCACATCAGAAAGCTAGTAAAGTGACAGAGAATTTGAATTGTATGACTCTTCTTATGGACTCATAAGTGCTGCCACATTTCCATCTTGCCTTGCCTTTTTTTTTTTAAATGCCTATTTGAAAACATTCAGAAAGAAAATCCTTTTTCTATGATTTGGCAGTCTGTTACATTAGTGGCCCCCAGTGAACCACGAAGCACACATCCCAATACTCTAT